CCTGGTTGTGCATTGGTGCTCCAGCCTCTGTCCCTGTTTGAGCTGTACACACTGGGCGCTTTGAGGATGCTCTGCCCACAACAGTCCCACACAGCTCTGCACAAAGAGACCGTCAGTGCAGCCCACAGACACATGCACGAGGACTGTACACAAACCACACAGATTCTACTTCTATGGGAATTCATGTTTACTCTATTAACATTAGGAAGGAAGTAGCTTATCATAATACATGTTTAAAAAAAAACAAAAGTGTTAGCTCAGGAAGTAGCGCAGTAAGAACAAACAAAATCAGAAAGTCGTTTTGTTATTCTGTCCTTGGGCAAGACTCTTCAAACGCAATTAAACACATTTACCTTGACTCATGCAGGTGATGACACTAGACCAAGTTGCAGGTCAGATCTGTGGAGAGGTGACCCCGCTTATAGTAGGAATACAAGTTTATTAAAAGGCCCATACGACACGATTTCTAACTCAAGTTGTCATTTTTATCGCATTACAAACATACCTGGAGTTGTGTTTTGTTTCATTCATGCGAATCCATGCGCTTCATGACATCACAAGGTGGAACAGGGCATTTTGAGCTTTAGAAATGCAGACAGACTAATAATAAATGCGTGAATGAAACAAAAACACAACTAAAGGTATTTGTTGAGGAGGTAGCAGCATTATAACTTAAAGCTCACAAGAGTCAGTTTTGTGTAATATAGATGCTTTAATGGATTTACTCTTCAAACTAACTGATTCAGTGCAGTGATAGAGGTTTAATGCCAAGCTGCGGGACATTCCAGATGACGTGAAGACAAGCACGTTGCAGTAAAGTAACATAGCGCACCTTTAAGTTCTTGCACGTTCGCGTTGATAGAGGGCAGAGCACGGACCACAGCAGAGTCTGAATCAGCGGGTCCGGATTGTGTAACGTCCCTCACTCACAGTACAGAGGAGGAAGGAGGAGAGGGGGGGGGCTCACAAAGACACACTTTAGACTGGAAACACAGGAGCAAAGACCAGAGGAGGTTTAACTTAAAGCTTGGCCCAGCATCAATGGGTCCCTCGGCCAATAAAACAACTCACTCAATGAAGAAATGTTACAACACACAGGATGTAGAAAGCTGCTCACATGGTTTAGCTAGAAAGTTTTCTGGAAGAAATTAGAATAAGTATTTTTTTTATTAGTAGTATTATTATTATTATATACAGGCTTCTCAGGTTTCTTGCAGTAGAGGTTGTATAGCTGAAATAGAAATCGCTCTGGGTTCAATGTGCACGTATAATTGTATTCACCCTGTGTGTGTCTGTGTGTCTGTCCACCAGTGATAATTCCGCTATTTATGGACCGATTGTCACCAAATTTGGTACGTGGGTCAATCCCCCGTGCTCAATGTCACAGAACAAGTTTGGTGACGATCCGAGGTCATTTGCGGTCACACGGGTCAATTGAAAGGTCACGCCATTCTAAAGGATAGGCAATTTCGGCAATTTCTGAACCATCTGCGGGCTAAAATATTCACACAATCATCACACAAGCCCCCACCGATGGCTCACGGGGGACCAGGTTGCCAACTGTTTTTGTTTTTGTTTTCCTTGAGTGGAGAAGATCATCACCTACTTTAATTCGGTTTCACTTTAGGTGCTAATGCAAAACTTCCTCTGAGCAAATCATTGTTTGGCTGATCATGATTTAAGGTATGACTTAAATTACATGATAATTATTTATGATTATTACCTTTTCCCATTATGAAGCAGCACTTCCTTATCCAATCCAGTCCACTATTTATACAGCACATTTTATAAACATCACAGATTCCAAACACAGGCCAGAAAACTCACGTAGTGTTAAAAGCCAGGGAATAAAGTGAAACGTAAAGCAGTTGCGATGTGGGGGAGAGAGCGTGCCAGAGCTTTAGAGAGACTTCCTCATACTGTAGTATAAGCACAACAGTAACAGCACAAACACATAAGGTTTATCAAACTTTTAACAATTAGCATAGTGTTGTTTGTTTGTTTGTATTTTCAACCAGCTTATGAATATAAAACTTTTTTAGAGATATATCGATATTCAGCATTGGTCTTGTCTTGATGGCCTGGGCAATAAACATTATCAGTATCAACATATTTGCACCAGCATGTTACCTAGAGCTGCGCGGTATTACCTAGGCTGGCGCCACCTGCTGCCTCCGCTCAGTTTCATTTTTCTCCTGCGACTAGGTCAGGAATAGGAATACACTAGACGGTTCGCAGGAAGCCTGGAAGTGCGAGTCCAGGCACCAGCCAATCAGAGAAGTGCTGTATATTCTGTGTTGACGATTCCCGAGATTGAGGATTTAAAGCCGGAGCAAAGAGAATGTTTGGTGAATTTTATTAAGGTGAAAGACGTTATTGCCCTGCTTTCTATGGAATTTTGGAAAAGCTTAATATACCAGTTAGCCCTGTTAGCGGCGCATTACCTACGTCTCGACCAAATAGCAATGATTGGTTAAAAAAAAAAAAAGTACCTGCCTACCGTTGAGCGAACAAATTCTAATGCCGCAAGGTCAAATGGTTTCCACAAAGTGAAACCGGCTGATGAATCAGGTTAGCACAATATGACCAGAAAATTAAATTTTAATTCTTTTGCACACCCTGGACAATTCGATTTGATCTAAGTCAGAGCAGTGACTGATAGTCTTTCAAACAGGGGAAACTTTTTACATTTTCAAACTGCTCTCAGGTACAGATGTATAAATATCGAATTGCAATTGCACTATAATCAGAAGTAAACTTGTTTCATAATAATGCTCAATTTCATGCAATTTTTCTAAATCTCGAGATTCAGCCTTCTTTAAACCAACTGATTCTGAAAATAGTTGCAGGTGCTTCTCCAATAATTCTCCAGACAGAATCTTGGTGGTTGACAAGAGTTTCGTTGGGAAATGTTTAACAGACACTAACACAAAGCCTCGCACAAGGCCTATCACCGAGGGGCAGAGGGGCAGGCAGCAGGAGGACCTCCAGAGCTGTAAACACATAAATACTTCTGAGACAGAAAGTGCACATAAAAACACCTGTGGCTGTGACTCCATCAAGTTCAACAACAGATACAGAGATAATACTGTTTATTTGATTTTATGTTGTCTTATTAAATCTGACACCACCACAGTAACATATATGCACTGAGTCATTTGCGTACCAGTGCTTTACACCAGATGCCCTACCATTTGTACCAGGTGTATGTGTGTGATTTATGAGATGTGAGATTAGAGTGTACTTTGGAAATAAACGACAAGGTATAACTATCCACAGTGTGCTCCAACAGAATATTAAGTTAATGGTCAGCCATGCAAAACAATGTACTTTTGCTTCCCATATAGTTTACATACGCTTTACAGTCAGTGTGTTGAAGTTGTAGTGATCTTTTTTTACCCATTTATAATAGATTTGTAAGCTACTTGAAAGTTTTAACAATAATAATATATGAATTGTTGCATTAGGCCAACCATTTTTCTGTTAAGCATCAGTATTGTGCAGTTGTATCATGTATTTTTTAATCATTTATGCAGCAACTAGTGTGCCAAATGTCTTTAGTAACTTTTAGAATACTTTGAAAATGTATTTAGTTACAGAATACTAAAAACCTGAATTAAAATGTATTTAAAGTACTCTATTGATCCAAGCAGAGTACTTTATTCTAAATACTTAAGACCCCAAATAGGATTAAAAACAGCTAAATATTTGTTATGCATTTCCAGTCACCAACTGGACAAGGAAACATCGCACAAGAGTAGCGTTTCAGAGTTTTTTTCACTAGTTACGTGCAGTTTAAAGGCTAAATTGTGTGATCAAGTACTGCTGTGTATTCCTTTGATTTTAGGAAACTCTTCTGAAAAAACAGCAAATGGAAAAAATAACCGTAGACACTCAAAATAGTACTCTGAATACCTATTCTGGGTACATGTATTGAGTTATTTCCCAATACCCAAACTTTAACTTGAAGAACAAATCTAAAAGTGTCAACAATATGCATTACCACATCCAGTATACATAAACATACGCACAACTCTGAGTCCAGTTAAAGCCATGTGAGTGTGCAGAGAAATATTTGTACAACTTTTGATTCATTGTGTCTAATACCTGCCACGTGCACTGAATGCAAGTTTCTTCTCGGACTCACTAGATCATCCGCATAACAGAGCCAAAGCTGAAAGGCCTGCAGTGGACTTAACATCTGACTTCATTTCTTAATATTACACAACATTATTCCTCAAACTGCAATGAAGGAGACTATTGTGTAGATCTAACCCATACAATCAGCTCCTGACACATCCAGCCACCCTATACTTGGTAAGAACCGTGCAAAACAAATACAGAAGTGCACAAAATCTGACTCAAAGACAAAACGAGTAATACGAATCACGCCTGGCTTGGTCACAGAAACATAAATATAGAGATATGCAAATGACTTAATGTTATTATTAGTGTTGTCATCTAGGTTATAATTACAAATCCAGTTAAGGCACGAGCTATGACATAATGCAAATGAATTGAAAAGGTGTGCACTACTTTTCAATTGAGTTTGACTGGGAAAAGGAGAAATGCATTGACAAGATCAAACCAGATGTTTTGCCAACCACCTGTTGACTGAGTTTAGCCAAATCTTATTCTAAAAACACGTCAAAATCACTCAGAAATGATACACAGCTTGTTACCAGGTAGACTACACGTCTTGCATACAAGTATTAAAGCCAAAACAAGAGAATTCTGCACTGTCAGACAATGTACGCGTAAAATTCTGCATATCTACACATTTATTAGCGGTATTTTAATGACTATTCTGATTTTTGCAAGGGTACACTGCTTCCTACTGCAACAATAAGTAAGTATAAAGTTTGTCCACGTCCAGGCGAGTTGTCCCACATCACGTTGCTGGCACGTTTTGACAGCAGACCCATAAATAACGTCCCAAAGCGAATGACAATACACGTGAGCGCTGCGTAAAGTTCCCGGACGCAACAAGTGACACTCACCAAAGTTTGTTCATACTGTAGCGCCCGCTGGTCCGAGCCGTCCCCCGCCATGGCTGTGCTCTGTACCCGGCGAGTGGAGCGAGGTTTTCGGCTTCAATACGTGCTCCAAGCGGGCTCCAGGAAAACGATCGGGGAAACGGTGAAGACACGGAACAGAGTCGAGCCCGTGTGCGCGACCTCTCCACGCGGAATGTCAGACAGAAAGTGCGTCCCGGTTACACAAAGTTCCTTCATTTTATAGTCTCAAGTCTCCAGCAGGATTCACACTGCGAGGCGGGACTTAGCGACGTGGTTTGATGCGATATTGACCCTCCCATCTGGAACAGCTGCCAATCAAAACGGCTCCAGTAACTTCTTACAAACGGGCAGGTTTACGCGTGGAAGTATGCGGGGTTTACTACGAACTGGTGCGTGCAGGATTGCGTCTGGTTTTGGAGCACGTGACACGAAAAACGAAAAGTAAGAATGGAAACAAAAACAGGCTTTGCATTACGAGCAGCCCAGTAAGAAAAAATGAATGCAAGTTTACATTTAGAAGAGCAAAATAGCAGACATTGAAGTGTAACAAGATGATATTTAGGCCTAGTCTGTCATTTTTGTCGTGGGTTGTCTTGTGGAGTGTTATTTTTTTATTATTAGAAAGTTTACCTGAACTTGGCTTGTTTCCAAAATGTTCACCAGCTGAGATTCTAAAAGCTCTGAGGCAAAAACAGTTGTATTTTATTTCCTGAATTACATCCCAAAATAACAGTTGTTAGAACCTGTAGCAAAAGGAGAAATTCAGTTTTTCAACTAGACAAAAGTTTATTTGGTTCGAATACATTTCATAGCTCATCCAAGCTGCTTCTTCACTTCTAAATTGAATTTCTCCTTTTGCCATGGATTCTACCTGGACCACTGAGGGATTGTACACACACCTTAGAACCTATAATAACTATAATTCAATGCCAGACTTTACCCAAAATGCCTCTTGGTCCCTTATTATTAGGCATAGATGCAAACATTTTAATAAAATGTTATAACAACTCATTTTGATAGGGGCTAAATAAATGTATAATTTAATAAATAAAACCAAAAACTTGCACAAATTGACTCTTGTGAGCTTTAAGCCATTTATAAGGAAACCGTATCAAAACATACCTGGATTTGTGTTTTGTTTCATTCACATGTTTGAGTAACCCTGCAATATTAGTCTGTCTACATCTCCAGAGCTCAAAATGCTCTGTTCCACCTTGTGATGTCATGAAGCAATAGTTTTCAAGTTAACAGTTACCTTTGACCTTTAGTTCAGAAGAGACTGACAGTTCCAGGGATGAAATTATCCAAATGATTCTAGTGAAGGTGTGTGGAGTTTAAAGAAAGTGGAGTTCTTCCTGAATTACCACATGACATGACAAGGTGGGACAGAGTGTTTTCAGTTTGAGTGAAGAACTCAGCCTAAATATGCAGGGTTTGTGTGTGTGTGTGCGTGTGCGTGAGTGTGTGTGTGTGTGCGTGTGCCTGTGTGTGTGTGTGAACATGTGTGAATGAAACCAAACACAACTCCAGATATCCTCTTTTGATGGGTAAACAACATTATAATAGATCAGATAATAGTGGAATATTGGACCTTTTAATAAATAAAACCAAATATTTGTGCAACACTTTACATAGATTATTGCCATGTTTTGTTTTGTTTTTTAACATTGTTGCTTATTGTTGTGTACTGGTGAGTATAATTGTTATACTATAACAGTTATGGGTACAGCTGCAGTGTTCTCCATCAGATCAGAGTCCAGGAAATCATGACTCACTAATGTTTGGCATTTGACATTTTACATGCACATATAAGCTATAAGTCCACTTTAAATATGCCAAAATGAGAATCCATCCATCCATCCATTTTCGTCCGCTTATCCGGGGCCGGGTCGCGGGGGCAGCAGCCTAAGCAGGGACTCCCAGACTTCCTTCACCCCAGACACGTCCTCCAGCTCCTCCGGGGGGACCCCGAGGCGTTCCCAGGCCAGCCGAGAGACATAGTCCCTCCAGCGTGTCCTGGGTCTTCCCCGGGGCCTCCTCCCGGCGGGACATGCCCAGAACACCTCCCGAGGGAGGCGCCCAGGAGGCATCCGGAACAAATGCCCGAGCCACCTCAACTGGCTCCTCTCAACGTGGAGGAGCAGCGGCTCTACTCCGAGCTCCTCCCGTGTGACTGAGCTCCTCACCCTATCTCTAAGGGAGCGCCCAGCCACCCTGCGGAGGAAACTCATTTCGAGCGCTTGTATCCGCGATCTCGTCCTTTCGGTCACTACCCAGAGCTCATGACCATAGGTGAGAGTAGGAACGAAGACTGACCGGTAAATCGAGAGCTTCACCTTTCGGCTCAGCTCCCTCTTCACCACAACGGTCCGATACAGCGACCGCATCACTGCCGAAGCTGCACCGATCCGCCTGTCAATCTCCCGTTCCGTCCTTCCCTCACTCGTGAACAAGATCCCGAGATACTTGAACTCCTCCACTTGAGGCAAAGACTCCCCACCCGGAGAGGGCAAGCCACCTTTTTCCGGTCGAGAACCATGGCCTCAGACTTAGAAGAGCTGATCTTCATCCCAGCCGCTTCACACTCGGCTGCAAACCGCCCCAGTGCACACTTGCAGGTCCTGGTTCGATGAAGCCAACAGGACAACATCATCCGCAAACAGCAGAGATGAAATCCTGTGGTCCCCAAACCGGACCCCCTCCGGCCCCTGACTGCGCCTAGAAATTCTGTCCATAAACACAATGAACAGAACCGGTGACAAAGGGCAGCCCTGGCGGAGTCCAACATGCACCGGGAACAGGTCTGACTTACTGCCGGCAATGCGAACACAGCTCCTGCTCCGGTCATACAGGGACCGGACAGCCCTTAGCAAAGGGCCCCGGACCCCATACTCCCAGAGCACCCCCCACAGGACACCACGAGGGACACGGTCAAATGCCTTCTCCAGATCCACAAAACACATGTGGACTGGTTGGGCAAACTCCCATGAACCCTCGAGCACCCTATGGAGAGTGTAGAGCTGGTCCAGTGTTCCACGGCCAGGACGAAAACCACACTGCTCTTCCTGGATCTGAGGTTCGACTATCGGCCGGATTCTCCTCTCCAGTACCCTGGCATAGACCTTACCGGGAAGGCTGAGAAGTGTGATCCCCCTATAGTTGGAACACACCCTCCGGTCCCCCTTCTTATACAGAGGGACCACCACCCCGGTTTGCCAGTCCAGAGGTACTGTCCCCGACCGCCACGCGATGTTGAAGAGGCGTGTCAGCCAAGACAGCCCCACAACATCCAGAGACTTCAGGTACTCAGGACGGATCTCATCCAATCCCGGAGCCTTGCCACCAAGGAGCTTGCCAACCACCTCAGTGACTTCAGCCAGGGTGATGGATGAGTCCGCCTCCGAGTCCCCAGCCTCGGCCTCCTCCTCGGAGGACGTGACGGTGGGATTGAGGAGATCCTCAAAGTATTCCTTCCACCGCCGGACAACGTCCCCAGTCGAGGTCAACAGCTCTTCCCCCGCACTGTAAACAGTGTTGGCGAAGAACTTCTTCCCCCTCCTGAGGCGCCGGACGGTTTGCCAGAATCTCTTTGAGGCCGTCCGATAGTCCTTCTCCATGGCCTCCCCGAACTCCTCCCAGCTCCGAGTTTTTGCCTCCGCAACCGCACGGGCTGCAGCACGCTTGGCCCGCCGGTACCCGTCAGCTGCTTCAGGAGTCCCCCGAGCCAGCAAGGCCCGATAGGACTCCTTCTTCAGCTTGACGGCATCCCTTACTTACTAAATGAGAATCTTATACTCAAATATTAGTTATGTAAAAAATTATGTGAAAATTGCAATACATTTTTTTTTAAAAATATATATATCTACTGTTGCCCCCGCGACCCGACCCCGGATAAGCGGAAGAAAATGGATGGATGGATGGATGGATGGACATATATTTTTTACTGACAATGACAATGAAACTCATCCTGATATTGATTGATCATATTACAGATACAGTACTGCTAAAACCATTTGAGGACATTACCTTGTGTTTGTGTGTCTGTGTCTGTAATGCTGATGTGATGTGAACATTTTATTGATTTATTTTTTAATCAACAATCTAACCATATAGGCTTATAAAACAGTTCAATCTGTTAAAAAAGAAAACCACACAAAAATATGTGAAAGTCGTGTACTGTTATTAAGTTACCACAAGGGTCAAAGGTCATGTAATAATACTATTGTTAAGTGAAAGTGCCTTGTTGGATTTGCATATTATTAGCATTTTATTTATTTATTTTATTCAGTTTTTGTTAAACTGGGAGAACCTGAGATTTCAAATCTCTTTTCCAAGAACAGATCTATTAGGCAAAATCAACGTTTCAGAGTTTTTATCCATGTTATTGTTGTTTTCTTCTCATTTACACTCTAGGAGTTGTATTTAGAGTGATTCATGCATGTTTGCGCATCTTTAATCACTTATTTTCAGGACCCCATTTTGCAGATCACCCCTTTTACAACACCACCGATACACACCCGCTGCTCTGTACTTACTTTGTTCTCCAGTTTTATTTTCTTAATCAGGGATACACGTAGGATTAGGCATCGCTGCGTTTTGTTGGTACAAATAAAAAACATCTGCAGCTCGCAAGTGTAATCTGCAGCTGTCCATACGAGGGGCTGACAGGTACACAGCTCTTTGTTGTGATGACGTTTACAGTGACGTCAGCTCACATTGGAAAGCACAGCAACACCAGCACACCAACACGGAGGTCTGGAGACATTTCTTTTATTAAGTCGGGTGTTGTGGACTATATATAGCAGACACAAGCACAATATGTCTCTTTAAAAGTGCACTATGTAACTTTATGGTTGGATATGTCTTTACTCTGCCATTAAACAGCTCTGCCTTAAATTTATTGAATTACATGTGGTTTTACTACTCAAAAATAACTAGAAAAACAGGCACTCTGACTGTGAGCGGGGTCACCTCTCCACAGATCATCTGACCTATAACTTGGTCTGGTTTGGTCTCTGTGAAGATAGAAAGGTTTGATACCATACTGTGAAACATTCTAGACAAAGGAATAACATCTCCCTGGAGAAAAGCATTTGACATCTGGACGACTGCAACGCACTTTACACGGGCGTCTCTCAAAACGCACTTTCCCGTCTGCAGTTAGTCCAGAACTCCGCAGCACGACTTTTAACAGGAATCAAAAAACGAGAACGTATCACACCAATCCTTGC